AGAATTTCTTTTAATGTTATTTTTCTATCAAAGCATAAGAAAAAAAATTCTCAAATTATTTGTTGCATCATTGTTGCCAAGTTGTATAAAGGGACTTTTAGTAAGTTTTAATTTCTTTTTTTAATCCTTTTACTGCAGGCAAGGCAATAAAGCCACAAAGATGTAAGGGGTTACTGAGTGTGAAGCAATACAAGAAAAAGAAAATCACTATTAAAGAGATAGAACAATAAAAGAATAGGAAGTAAAAAGACAGAAGATAACGATTGACATTGCATTTAAATTTTCTTATTAAACTAAAGGAAATTTGATAATAGACTCATTTTTTTAGATCACAAGACATGAATTCTTAAAATCTTGAAATGAAGGAAGAACATTTTAAAAATTGATTTTAATTTTAAAAAGTTAGATATTTAGCAGAAGTTTTTCAAAATGTGTATTTATATGTAAACTTTGTTTACTTTTGTTGTATCCAATCCATCTATGTACCTTCCTTCTACACAATGCCTGTTGGAGTTAATGGCATTCTGAATAATCAATCCACTGAAGTGATCAGAATATGGAAAGAGTAAAATTGTTACTAATATAGTAAAATTGTAGCATTTGTTGTTTTGTTTTTTCTTTAAGTAAACAATGGAAGAAAAATTACAAAGGATATTATTTAAGTATTTATATATTTTACATATTACAAATTAATTTTACCAAAGTTAGACTCAGAAGAGTGTTGCTTGAAAATCATTGTTGTGAGTTTGATATTTTAGAATTGAGTATTATTTGTACATAATTGCTTTCTTTTTTCTTTATCAAAGTAGAGGGTTACCAAACAAGTTATATTTAAGTAATTTTACAATTAAATTGGTTATATTTTCTTTATGAGTAGTCTAGGATTTTAATATATATAAATATCTAATTATTCAAATTATTGTTGATACCTTGATTATTATAAATATTATTAATATCAGAGATCCGTTTCAATGAAATACCCCTGGGCCATCTTCAGGTGCCCATCATTTTGGCTGATATGGGATATCTGTTGTTTTATTTTATCTCTGTGATGCCAATTCTTGTTCATTCATGCAGAACCAGTGTTTCACTAGCTGATCCAGAGATTGAAATCATGTTCGCTAGATTAACTAAAGATGACTAGAGTGTACTTGGCCGAAACATTGTGTCTGTAATAACATCTCTGATAATATGAGAAAAATAGTTTAAATTAATTAAATCCACTTTTTACCAAAAAATGTAGCAAAAGAAAATATCCCCCAGGTTTTTATCTGTAAAGTTGAGCTATCTGGTTGACTAATGTTTTCCTAGATTTCATCAACAAACAGTACTTGTACCTATCCTAAATCTTAGTACCTCATTACTACAAGTTCATTTTTTTGTTTTATAATCATTTCATTCCAAACAAAGCAATAAAACCACTAAGACACAAGGGGTTACTTTGTGTGGAAGAAATAGAAAAAGAAAAAACATTAAAGAAAAAGAACAATAAATGAACAGGAATTAAGAAGACAAATGATTGTAATTGATATTGCATTTTATTTTTTGAAGATCAAACTTGACTGGAAAGCAAAAAGACTTCAAGAGTGTTCCATAAATGAGAAATGCAAGAAAAGAAGCTGTTAGCATAGAACTTACGGTTATATCTAGTCATTTCAACTGTAAAATGATGAGACCTAGCCACCAATCTAGTACTGTGCTTAAATTCATAAACTCTAGATACTATAGTGAAAAAACAGACAAATTATATTGAGTGGAATTGAATTTTTTTTGTTTTGCTGAAATAGTTGATTAGTGCCCTTTTTTAGTAGTCTTTCATTGCAATATAATTATCTTTATTAAAAAATCTTACAAAAATAAAATATACTTTTCTGAAACTTTATTTGAGGAATATTGGCTTATTTAAAGTATAATTAATCTGATTTGAAACAAATATTATTTACTTTAAGTTTAAAATACTGCAGAAATTAATTTTTTAAGCAAACAGCAGCAGTGTTTTTAACTGACAATAGCCATATTGTTGTTCTACGGAGACTTTATCTGCTAATTTAAGAAAATGACATGAGCACATTTTTTATAAAATTTCAAGTACTCAGCAATTTTAAAAATGTTGGATCATATTTTCCATAATCTAATTTTAGGAATGTTGACTTTAAATTTACTATAGTCTTCACTTAATAATAATATAATCTAAATAGATGAAATTAATACAGAATTTTAAAAGATTTAAAATTTAATAAATGAATCATAAATGGTAAAGTTTAATACCAATCATCAAACACACAAATTTTTCAAAGAATTTTGAATATCTTTTATGTATATAAAATATTATGTAATGTGCACATTTTTTGAAAATATGGTCAACCATTATCAGAAAATAAGAGCAAAATGCTAAATAAGTCCTCAAAGTTTCATTAAAATCTGACAATTATTTGATTTTTGCAAGAATTTCGAAAACATGTTTTTTACCAGAAAGAAAGGTGCTAAAACACCCATAATAATCTTTGGCCAGCTGTTGATGCAAAAAAAAAAAAGAAAAAAATTTTAACCAAAATTTTGAACCTGCTAGAAAAAATTAAAAATTTATTAAAATAAAAAAATAAGTATTCTGGTTTTGCCTCTTAATAACAACATAAACATTTTGATGACCAAAACTTCATTTAAGTTTGGGGCCGTTTTTCATCAAGCTTGGCTGTTTTTTATTTTTTTGTTTTTTGGGGTTTTTTTTTTTTTTTTCAGCGAATTAGTGGAGGTACCTATTCTAATATGTGAAATGTTTATGTATATTGAACACCATCACATTTTAATTATTCAGTATGACATGGATAAAAATAATATTCCTTATTTTTGTGAAGTTCACAAGAGTATCTTCACTTCATTCACTTTGTCTTTTATGAACTCTTTGAAATAGCATTATTGGTTCTTGTGTTATTTGTAGTTTAGAAATTTTTGCTCTCCCTTGAATACTTAAACATTAATCAAAATTACCTCCCTTGGTAGCTAGCTGATTTTCAGAGTTAATAGTGAGAAGTATGGTGTAATGGTTATCAGCATGGCCCGATTATCCTTTAGGCTAGTATAAGCTACAACGTTGGGCCCCTCAAGGTTTTATAAAGCAATGATTTTAATTTTCAAGGTGTTATAACTTATAAATAGTTTCATAAACTGAAATGATATCAATATGACAAACTCATATTTATTTGACTTTGTAGGAAGCAAAGCCAGGAAAAGAATGTTTTAATTTGTATCATTGTGTTTCAAATAGATAACATGTTTAATTTTAGTTCAGAATGTTTAAATCTTAGAAATTTTGTCTATATTTCTGAGATGAGGTGTTGTAACTGTTTACATTGTTAGGACTGTTGTCCTCATCTTTATCGCCATATTCATGACATTTCGGCTGTTGTACACTCCAGCCTTCTTCAGGTGATAAACCTTGGAATTTCCAAATGGGCCAGTGGTCAAGTAATTTAAAGAGTCACTTGACCCAAAGAGTTGTGAGTTTAGTACCTGGCTACAGCAGAGGCAACAAAAACTTGGAGAGTTGAGTCACTAAAGAGAATGAACTGAAACTGAGATATCCAAAAAAAGGCATAGTATGTGGAATTAGAACAATCTACAATCAGCATGGATAATGGAATTTATAAACTAAATTTAAACTACAGCTGATGTAGTCAAAGTTCAATTTGTATTAATGCTCTTGGAAAAGGCATGAATCTATTTTTTGCTATATGCTGAACATTTTCAGACAGCTTGACACAATGTCTCATCATTGGCATGTCACCAGAGTGGACAATGGAGAATGAGACAGACCAACAACAATACATGCCTCAGAAATTGCAGAAGTTCTTACAGGAATTTTATTTTTTCTCCTTCATTTCTCCAGTGGTAATCCTGTTTTTATTGATTGTAGTTTTATACCTTCATGAATTGTAATAGTCACACAGTATGGGAATACTAATTTTCACTATATATTTTCTGAGATCACAAGAAATCCTTGCCCCCACCCTTTACCTTGCAGTCTCACTTTGGACACTCACATGCCCAGATATGTATAAATTGGGAAGGCTGTTAACATGATAATCAACTGACTGTGACTGGCTTCAATCAAATTTGTTCAGAGAACCATGGCATGATATTTAGTATTTATTACAGTATACTGGTAATAAAATTAACCTGGAAAGTTTTGGTTGTTTCAATTAGCTTGTATAATACTAGTTTCTACATCCATGGAGATTGATAGATAGGGATATTTTTAGCAACAATAAATTTGTTTTGTTTTTAAAAAAAACAAAAAAAAAACAAAGAAATTTGACTTTATCCAATTGAAGGGCTTCCATGATGCATGTTAAACCTTGGTTATTTTGTTCTACAGAGCAATTTCTCCTGTTAATACTTTACATATTAAAAAATTTATGTTTTATTAATATTTAAAATTCGTGCCCACAAAAAAAACTGTATCAAAAGGATGGTTATTCCACTGACACGACTTTTATTGTATACACTTTTGACTTCCTTGGCAATGTTTTTTTACAAGATTTATAAATATATATGTACCAAATACAATGCAATATTTATTATTTACCAAAGATTTATTCACTATTTTATAAATAACTATGAAAACAAGTTTTTTTATTCAATGTAAGATTGTGTTTATTATCTTTGTTGCCAATTCTCAAGAATAAAGAAAATGTATAAGACCATTTTCTTATGTTTGGATTTTATTAGAATTTTAATCATCACCTTGTAAAATAATAAAAAAGTAGTCAAAACTGTATACAGTCATGGTGGTGTCAAGGAAATAACCGTCATTTTGAGATGCTGTTTTTTAACATTGCCAATGTTTTAATCTTACAAGAAACATTTTGAAAATTTAACTTTTTTTTTTTTTTAAACTTTTAACAACAATGAACATCACTCTAAAATATTTTTTTACGTTGATAATAGGTTCAACTTAAAGGGTTCATTTTTGAACTTGTACTTTATTTTCTGTCTTTCAGAGCCCTGCTCCTGGGACATCTACGGATCCACCTCCTTCAGGAGAGAAAGCTTGGCTTGTGGCACATTGGTACAACTTTGATTCTAAGTAAGTGAATTTTTATCATGCTATTTAAAATTCAATAAAGCATTGATGCAATTTAGAAATAAAATGTTTATTTATTTAATATAGGAAAGATTAAAATTTGAATAGTGGATTATTTTTATTCATTTATAAATTTATGTATACTTCCTTTTTTTTCTACAAAATAGGATTTAAAAATCATGTAAATTTTGAAAAAAAAAGGATTTAGAATTTATGGAATTTTTATTTTGAAGAAAAAAGGATTTAGAATTCATGGGAATTTTGAAAAAAAGAGGATTTAGAATTTATGGGAATTTTGGAAAAAAAGGAAAAAAAAGGATTTAGAATTTATGGAAATTTTGAAAAAAATTAGTTTATTGGAAAAATTGGGAAAAAAGGATTTAGAATTTATGGGAATTTTGGGAAAAAATGATTTAAAATTCATGTGAATTTAGAAAAAAATGATTTAGAATTTATGTGCACTTGAAAAAAAATTCAAATTTATGTGTATTTGAAAGAAAATCAAATTTATATATAAACTTGAACAATAACCATTTGTGTACTTTAAAAAGAAAAAGCAGTATTCATTTAAAACTTCAGCAAAGGCAATATTCTTTGCCAAAAATATTTTCCTTTGCCATTTCTACTTATCAAGCATTATTATCTTAATTTTTACAATATCATGGCTGTTGAGAAAATCAAAATATTGATTATGGCATGTATATTCCTGCATCAAGAATCCTTCATTGATCTGTGGGAAGTAAGGTAACATGTATAAATAAGATAATTTTGTTTTAGTGAAGTATAAGAAGTATAATATACACTGTGGATAGGTAATAATAAGCAAGTGTATTATTAATATATAAATCAGTGTCCTTCTTGAAATTGATTGAATTTAGGATGGCACAAGGCCATAAAAGTTGCTCAGTAACAAAAGAAAATGACATTCTTATTATTTTTGAAGATCTGATTATCTTCCCCTTCCATTTAAAAAAAAAAAAAAAAAAAAAGAAAGTGAAATAACTTATTTAAAGATGGAAAAGAAGAAAATAATATCACCTTCATATTTTTGTATCTCTCTTGATGCTCCAAATGGAAAAAAGTGTTTTAAAAACTTCTCTACCCTTTTGAAAGGGTAAAATATATAAGCATTCAAAACTATCTGCATTTGTATTTTTTCAATAACATTGTCTTCCTTTCTTTTCTCGTTCTCGTTTTTCCTTTCTTTTCTCGTTCTCGTTTTTCCTTTCTTTTCTCGTTCTCGTTTTTCCTTTCTTTCTCGTTCTCGTTTTTCCTTTCTTTCTCGTTCTCGTTTTTCCTTTCTTTCTCGTTCTCGTTTTTCCTTTCTTTTCTCGTTCTCGTTTTTCCTTTCTTTTCTCGTTCTCGTTTTTCCTTTCTTTTCTCGTTCTCGTTTTTCCTTTCTTTTCTCGTTTTTTTCTCTTTTCTCGTTTTTTTTTCCTTTCTTTTCGTTTTTCCTTTTTCTATCTCTTTCTTTCTCATTTCCTTTCATTTTCCTTTAGTTTTCTTTCATTGTCCTGTAGTTTTCTTACCATTTTCTTTTTTCTCTTGCTTTTCTTAATTTGTTGTGTTGAAATGAACAAGCTGTGTGTGTGTGTGTATATATATATATATATATATATAAAAGCAAACAAAATTTTAACACCACAAAATTTGTATATTGCCTTAAATATACAAAAACGTATTCTTTAAAGGTTCTTTTTTCGATCAACACAAGAAGAATACGTTGGTACCTTCTTAGATAAACAAAATGAAACATATTCACACAATGAAACCCAAGTATATACAGGAGGGTTAAATGAGGAACCCTAACTAAAATTGAAATTTTTTACTAAAATGAGGCGGAAAAAAAATAGGAATATGTCAAGAAACCAAAGTAAATACAGCGTGTGATGGGTAAATTGTCACCATTTTATATTGTTTATTTTGTACATTCTTGGTGTTTGTTTTTGATTTTGTCAACTGCAAAGTATAGTATAGTCATTTGGGCATCATCTGTGAGAAAAAAAGAGCACATTGATACAATTCATTTTGCCAGAAATTTGGTAATGGCATGTTGTACTTTTTGGCATTCACACCAGAAGCTCCAATATGAATATTTCAGAGTGTTTGGGTGTCAATCTGAGGACAGTGCAAAGGATTCAGAAAGAGTTGGATGAGTGTAATGATGAATACGAAGATAGACAACTTGAAAAACTCACTCTGATCATTCTAAATTTGTTTGTAAGGGCCTCGGACTAAATACTGAGATCCACATCAAGTGGCTTGAGAAGGTAGTTCTGTTGCAGGTCAAGGAGGTGGCTGCTGGAAGACCCTGTGTCTTGCAACAGGGCTCTGCTCCATGCCACACAAGCAGGAGAATCCAGTCATGGCTGTCAGACCACACCACCCTTGACATCTGGCCACCTACCTCCTCAGACTGCAACCCCTTGAATTCAACTATGTGATTTCTTTATATATAAAGAAGTAATGGATTTTTAGACTGTCATATAGGAAGAAAATGTTAACTACCGACATCGAGGTTCAAGCATGAATATATTTTCCACCAGGTGTTCATCCTTAGTATGACGATAAACTACATCTGCATCCTGGGTAAGACGATAAACTACGTCTGACAGCAAGGCCTTTGATCAGGAGATTTTAAGAAGTGTGGAACCACCTCTTAATTGTTGGTGTTCCCAGGTCCACCCTGACCTGGGGTGGTAGCACCTGTTAGGGTCTCAGCTATGGGCAAATAGTTAACCCCAATCTGGGGTCAAAACACAGTAAAAGTGCAAAAATATGTTTTAATACCAGCAATGCATTTTTGAAGAAAAAATATTACCAGCAATAAAAAATTCTTGTCAGCATTAAATAAACCATTGAGGTTGATGTGTCATAAACTAAACCGCCAAGTGTATGAATAGTGGTATCAGGCTATTTACTGTAGTGAACTACAAGTTGACTATTGGTTGATTACTAGTTGATTCTGGTTTTTTGTTGAGTGATTATTGAGTAACTCTTTGGCATTAAGTGAGCCACACTACTACAAAGGTATTCACTGAATTTGTTAACAAGTTTGATTGACTCTTACTTCTTTTGTTCTGTTACGTATTTATTTGCAGTTTGTAATTAAATACTGTTTATTTAACATTTGAAGTCTTGAGTTGTACTTTATCATTAACGGCCATCCGATACGGCTCCCTTGGTTTCTTAGCATGTACCTTGCTATTATGCCCCACCAATACCTCATAAATAATGGACTATTCCATTTTGATAGCATAGAAAGATGGAAAAGACATATTAGAGATGCTACTTGGTCTCAGTGAGAAAATTAATGAATGAATGAAAGGAAGATAGTGTTTAATGTCTGTTTCAGTAAAATGGAAAATGTTGTCATTTTCAAACCTTTTCATTTGTACCCCATTACTTCTTTAAATAAGGGCCAGCATTCATATTTATGATTGTTATTGCAATATTTTGTTAAAGTTTTTAGGCTCAAATATTTAATAATGCAATAGGGGAATTTCTCTGAATATTTTGTCGTAGAACGTGGCATGAGCTTATTCAATTATTGATTTAAGAATTAAGATTCATCAGAAAATTCAAATAGGAAAACCATGAAATTTTCATAGGTATTTCTAGTGTATATAATGTAGCATGATGAGTAATTTGTTTTTGTATTTTTATCTTTTTCAGGTACATGAAGCCATTTTTAACTAATAGTCGTCCTTTGTTGACAGAAACCCTGCCGACATGGTGTTTACCAATAGCAAAGTTGCTTACAACAGATGAGCAACTCTCAGAAGTAAGTCAATACTTTGTCTTATTAATATTATATTAATTATTTATTAATATTTTGTTGGTTTTAAATCCAGATGCACTGCTCAAAATAAATATTTTACACAAAATTGATTTATGCCCAAGAACTCTTGTAAATATTTATATTCTTCTTAGAATTTTCATAGATGTTATCCAGAAAATAATCAGCTGACCACTATTTTCTCCTTAGAGGACATTTCGAGTTTTTGTTATTGCAGTAAAGCATAATGAAAGTGTTGTATCCTTAAAAAGGTTACAAATAGACAAAGGTGCTACTCGAGTGAAAGGAACAGCAACATGTGCGTAGATGAAAGAAAACATGTTTACTGTAAAAGAGAATACACTACTAAAAGACAGGGAATCGGGTGGCAAGCTAGTAATTCCCAAGGCAAGCCCTTGGGTATATCCTGTGCTGCCTATATATAGCTACTGATATAGTCAGTCCACAGAAGTGATAGGGTGTGTGGGACATTCCATTACAATACCTCCCCGTGAGCTAATTTTCCCATGAAATTTTGCTCAATACCTTTTCTTTTTGGGGTCAGGACATAATTGTTTGACTTTTTTTCCTCTTCCTCATACTTTTCTGTCTTACCAACACAAAAGAAAGATGGCATCCATTCCTGGTACCACTAGTTTGAACAGTTACTTTCATGACGATGTTTAGTTCTATTAGTTTCAGGGCAAATGGCTTGTAGAACAGCTTTTAATCTTGGGCTCTGCATAAAATGAAGGTTGCCACACACTAACAATTTTTAACATTATTACTTTTCTTCATTTGAATATATGCATGTGTTTGTCTTCATCAGTGTTGCATGCATGTTTTTTTTTTTGTTTTTTTTTGTGTTGTGCACCTGGGGACTGCTATACAATTTCACTCTGCATTGCACAGTGTCAAGAATAAATATATAAATAAAAAAATTAGTTTTGGTGTGTGGCAACATTAGTGAGTTTCTTTTAAGGTTGACTGAAACCTCTGCTGATTGTTTCAGTATAAGCATGTTTGCATGAAAATTTTCTTAAGTTTAAATTTTTAGAGTTGAATATGTAAAAAAAGACTTTTATTAAATTTTATATTAGTTAATGGGGGTACGATTTACTATGTAAAATCATTATAAATTGATCCCCCTGTTGAAGCGAAAACAAAATATTCTCATACCATGTAATTTCTTCAAATTTTAAAAATAATTTTTTTTAAATACAATCTGGAGTGCTTAATTGTTGTAATCTAGAAAAGGTTACTGAATAGAATAATCACATGAAGGTTGGTAACGAATGATAATACTTAGGACACGAACAATATATATAAGATTTGCCAATGGTGCGTAGAAGATGTAGTTAACTGTTAGAAGTGAGTCAATCGAATTCCACAATAAATCTCCAACTACAGGATATCTACCAACCGCTCCACATGGTCAGATGTGGCACAAAGATGAATTTAATGTGGGGTATCCAAGCTTGTAGGCTTGGCCAAAAATTCCCTGTAGACCCCGTATAAAACAGGGTCTGGTCGCTGTTTCCCAAGATGAGACTCAACCCTTTGACATAGCTTCATCTGGGGATCCTCTCTGCCCAGAGGCAGAGAGTTTGACATACCCATTATCTACAACAATAACAATATTACAAATTTTTAAAAAAATTTTAAATTTGAAGAATTCATTTTGGATGAGCATGTTTTGTTTTGGCTTCTGTAGGAGAATTCATTTGCAGTAAATATACATAGCAAACTGGATCTCCTTATTACATAAAATTTAATATTTTTTTAAAATTCATTATCTGGAATGTTTAATCTGTTGTAATATGAAAAAAAAATTTCTTGTCACAGTGCTTCTTATACAGTACCACTAATAGTTTTTTTTTATATTCGTTATCTGGAGTGTTTAATCTATTGCAATATAAAAAAATATATCTGGTCGCAGTGCTCATTATACAGTACCACTAATATTTTTTCAGTTTGTGAAGATATTTATGCAAAAGTGATAGTTTGGAATAAAGGAACTGTTTTAACTAAAAAGTCAGTATCTCTAAGATCTTTAATGTCAACACTTGACTTTTCAGATGTACTAAAAATTTTTTAAATTTACATTGATTTGTGATTTTAATGTTATTAATATTGCCTGTTCTTTTATATAGTAAAATATTACCAATATTACTTCTTTATATCAGTTTATATTTTTGTGTGTGTGGTGAGTGAAAGGGGTTCTCAAATTTAATTTTAAATACTGTGAAAATCGCTTCATTTTTATTTTACTTATATATGATGCCTGTTTACTCATAGTGCAATGTGGCTTTCAGCAAATATATTGTTTAGCTTGTTTTAGGAGATAAACATTTTATTAGCAAAAAAAAAAAAATACTGTACAAAACAGCAGAAATGTTTTGTGTCATTTATGGAGGTGCTGTCATAACTGAGAGTACTATCTGTAACTGATTTTCTAGGTTACAAAGTGAAAATTTTGGTCTGGAAGACCCAAAGGTTTTGGTAGGCTTGCAATCATGATAACCAAATTGAAAAACTGTTTAAATATAATCAAGATCGCATGAAATGGGACATTGCAAACCTATTTGTAAAAGGATGATCACAGGTGATGAAAAATGGATTGTTTACAACAATGTGTAGTAAAAAAGTTCCTGGGGGAAAATGTGAGCCACTGTTAACCATTCAAAAGCCCATTTGCAGTCAAATAAAATGATGTTGTGTATCAAGTGAGAGCAGTGTGTATTATGAGCTTCTTCCACGATCAGATGTTGAATTAAGAGAAGTACTGTTCCCAATCAAACCTAGGAAAGATAATCCTGGATATGATGATAAACTACATCCACCAGCAAGACCTCTGATCAAGAGATTGGACATTTTGAAAAGTGTAGAACCACCTGTTATTTGCTGTTGTTTCCAGGGCCATTCTGACTCATAGCACCTGTTCTACCTATGGGCAAATATAAAAAATTACCAACAATACCTATTTATAGTAAAATTACCTATGTATTGTATAGATATGTGGAGTATTTCTGTTTTCAATTTATAGTAAAATTACCAACAATACATTTTATCTCTAGTTGAAGACATACAATTGCGTTCAAAATATATTTAATTGAAGACATAAAATTGTGTCCAAAATATTTAGATTTTGGCATTAAATAATCCATAGAGGTTGATATGCTGCTAAACGAAATCAATCAATCAACCAACCAATCAATGAAAGGAAAGCAATTCATGAAAAATATCCAGAACTGACCAATCAGAAAGTAAAGTTTTCTTCTATCAGGACAATGTCAGACATAATATCTCTTTGCAGACCCATCAGATGATTGGCTGGAATGTCTTACTACACCCACCATCTGCATCTTCAGATTACCAATTATTCTGATCTATAGAAAAACATTTAGATTAGTTCATCACCCAGAAAGATGTCAAGTTTTGGAATCCTGAAACTACCTCAATGATGGTGAAAGGTAGTTTAACAAAATTACATGTGGTTGAATAAATCAATATACAAATATCATCTTTGAAACTCATTTAAAACATGCAAACACTTTTGTTCCAAAAGTTATTATATTTTCATACACATTTCACTTACTAAATGTAACAGGCATTTTTTGACAGAGATACCTTGAGAAAACTATAAATTTTTAGTCACTCATCAATAACTAGGGCCATCTAACATAAAGGACAAAAAGTAAAAAATAAATTACAAACCTACTAAGTTAAAGAATGTAAAAATAATGCATTTTCTTCTCCTTTTCTGAAAAATATCTTTATTTGTAATTATTCCACTCCAAGCAAGGCAATAAAGTCACTAAGACACAAGGGGTTACTGAATGACAAAAGAACAATAAAAGAAGATGGTGATTGATGTTGGATTTAAACTTTTGAAGATCATATTTGACAGGAAAGCAAGAAATCAGAAGTGATTTTCACAGATGAGAAGTGCAACTGAAGAAACTATTAGAATAGAAGTTAGTTACATCTAGCTACTTCAACAGTAAAATGATGAGACCTAGTTACCAATCTAGTACTGCACTTCGTAAAGTCAAGATACAAATTACTCCTACGATGGTAGGAAAGTGACTGAAGCTGAGATGCCAGGTCAGGACTGATAACATTGCAGATTCTTCTTTGTATTTTTTCAAGAATCTTGAGATAGATAGAAGAAGCACCAGATCAGATCGTAGCAGTAATATTTAATGCATGGGTGAATGGTAGATTTATAAATGTACACAATGGATTCTGATGAGAAAAATTACCTAGAAAAACAGCTTTCTGAGCAGCAGACCTAGCAATAGATTCAATGTAACCATTCCATTTCATGTCAGAAAATGTGAAACCAAGAAGATTCAAAGTTGGCATCATGTTGTTAGAAGGCTTAACTGATAGTATTAAGAGTATTATGTGATATGTATCCTCCTGTATGGCAGTGAATGCTGGACAATGTCATCAAAGGGGAAGGACTTGAAGCAACAAAAATGTAGTTCTACAGAAAAATGCTGAGGATATGATGGATCAAACATGTGAGCAACAATAAGGTTTTGGATAAAATAAAAACAAAAAGTAAACCTACTTAAGATAAGGAAGAGGCAGTTGAAATTTCTGGGGTATGTAAGAGGAAGGAAGGCTTGTAAAACTTGATACTCAGAGGACAAATTGAAGGGAAAGGGGAAAGCAGAGTGTAACATACTTGATGAAATGAATTGTAGAACTGGGTTTGGGCGAAAAAACAAAGCTTATTAAGAGCTACAAAGAACAGGAAGATGTGAAGGGCTATAATCGCCTACATCCTGAAGGGACACAGCACATAAAATAAGAAGAATATTTTAAGAGATTAAATTTTAGGAGTCAGTTGATTTCACCTTTATATTCCTTACTACAATTACACCCTTATGGTTTTATTTTTCTCACAAAAAAAATTCAACTTTTGTGAGAATGTTGCATTAAGTAGTTTTATTGCAGTAAACTAAATCTATATTATACTAGTCCTTAGTATTTTTTTCAGCCACTCTCCTCCTCAAGACTTCTATTTGAGAAGGTCTCATTTGGGGAAATTTATATGAAGTTCTAATCAGCTTCCTCCATGTATTGTAGTTTAAATATTTTTTTTTTGTTTTTTTTAAGAGATTTTTCACAGGATGCAAAGTTAAGAGTAAAAGCATTTCCAGAAAATTATTAATTTTATATTTGCAAATCAAATTCATTTATGTAACAGAAGGGACAAAAGATAGAAGCTTAAGATTACAGCTAAACTTTTGATCCAATTATGGTTATTAACATAAACTATATATATATATATATATAATATATATATTCTTTTTTTTTTTTTCTTTAAGCAACTGACCTCAAGCAAGTCAGGAGTGCCACTAGCACACAAGGGGTTACAGAGCATTGAGAACAAGAGTAATGAGGCATGTTTGAGAAAAGGATATAGAGAAGGATAGCGGACAAGATCAAGCTATCAGAAGATGTCAATTGACATAACACTTGAATATTTGAAGATTATAGTTAGCAGGGAAGCAAACAAAAGGAAAGGAATTCCACAGATGGGAAGTGTGAGAGAAGCTGTTTGAGTAGAAGAGATTGTTACATTTTATCATTTCAACTGAAAAGGTGAGATGCCGACCTGGCAGCTTACTTAGATTCATGCAGTCTGGAAACCAGTGAAAGTAGCTCGTTGCAACAGTTGCCATGAAAATACTTGTAAAAGAGACAGAGGGAAGCTGCAGCACATCTGTGAGAAAGCAACTGTAGATGAGATGCCAGATGAAGACTTATCGTATTGCATATTCGTCTCTAGATTTTGTCGAGGATCTCAAGACATACAGTGGGGGCACCAAACCATATATGACAGCAATATTCCATGCACATGGATGGTTGATTTATAAATTTGAAGGATGAACTCAGATGAGTAAAAACTTTTTGGCATGACACAGAACCATCTTTTCTTGTAGTAGATGAAACTATTGATTCAATGTATTTGTTCCACCTCATGTCAGCTGACAGCATGAGACCAAGCAGGTGTAATGCATTATATATATATATATATATGAACCTAAAGAGCCAGGCAAACCTACCTAGGTTCCACTTACACGGAGCGTCAGGGTACACCAGCATACTCTGACAATCCGCATAGGTAAAACCTAGGTAGGTTTGCCTGGCTCTTTAGGTTCGTAGTTAGATTTGCTCTACTTTGTGTATTGAGCACTTTGCTTAGTTATTTTTACTTTACTCGTGTCAGAGGTTTTTTTCTTCGGACTCTGAGCTTGGATTCTGGTCAATTGTTTTCGCCTGAATTACATGTTCTTAGTTCTTTTTTGATTCATTATTTTTCCTTTGGTATTGGTTTGTTCATTTGCAAGCCAAGACACCTAAGGTTTTTTCGGACAAGTATACTTACTTATATTTATGAGATTTATTATATATATATATATATATATAAAAATAAAGAAGGTTGCAATGAACTGTTTTCAGTGTGAACAATTGTTTCTATATTAACATATTTAACTAAAGACAAAAACTGCTGCTTATTTGAAGTGTCACACCTGGTTTCTAATATGCATTCCTCATGACTTCAACTTGACTGACCAAATCAAACACAAGTGACATTCAACCATTTAAATGCTGTCGGATTTTTTTTGTTTTTTAAAGAGATTTTTCACAGGACACAACGAGAAAAAAAGCTTTTCCAGAAAATTATTAATTTTATATTTGCAAATTCACTTTTCCTGAAGTAACACAGCACATAAAAGAAGACATGTCCAATGTTTGCATTTGTTCATAAATGAATGGTCACTTATTGTTTATGCAGTTTTCCAACTAAGCTGATTGTGCATATTATTATATATTAAATAAGTTAACAACTGACTCATTGTTTTTTGTTTTGTTTTCAGGGAATTCATAAAGGAGATTCTGACTCGGACACAGACATGATTATTGATCATAGTGAGTCATATGGAGAAAACACCAGTACTGCATCTGGACATGGTGCAGACAGTATGGATAGAAAACCAACTTTACAGGTAATACATCTGATCAGACTGTCAAAGCCATATTGTTTCTCTTTTTAAAAATATTATTCACATTCTTAAAAATGTCCTCTCTTCAAATTTTTTATTGCATGTAAGCAGATTTCATTTTATTACTTTTCCATTTTTCTTTTTTTTATGTGAAAAATTATTCTTGCTTAATTAACAGTTAATTAACCTGATCTAATTTAAAATCATTAATTTTTGTCTTTATTCATTACACGGGAAACATCTTTTCAATTTAACTTGCATTGATCTCCATATACTTGTCATATGGAGGGCTGTTTTGAGTAACAATGTATCAAGCATACAATTATTATATATTTGCTAATAAAGAGAAAATATTGTAAAGATTTAAATATAGAAAGGAAAATATCTGTCTATATTTCTGAGGCAATTATTTACACTATTTACATTGTTCAGACTGTTGTCCTCGTTGTCATTACCATATTCACAACATTCTGGCCAATTTACACTCTGGCCTTTTTCAGGTGATTGAACTGAACCCTTTATTTAATCCACAGGGGTTGATTGGGAAGGATTCACGGCCCAGTGGATAAGTGTTGGTTGAATTTAGTGACTTGACCCAAAGAGTTCAATACATGGCTACAGCAGAGGTGAACAAAAACTTGGAGAGTTTAGTTTTAAAAAAAAGGAGGAGATAATGATACTGTGATATCCAGAAGAGGCATGGCACGTGGAACTAGAACAATCTACTTTTGGGTTCAGTTCAAAATTCCAATCACCTGAAGAATGCCAGAGCATACAATGGCTGAAACATTGTGAATATGGCAACAAAGATGACGACAACAGTCCAAACAATGTAAATAGTATAAATAGGAAGGAAAATGTATTCATTTGAATTTTATAGAAGCTGAATTCAACATAATTTACTATTTTGATCTTGGTATATTCTGATAATTGAATATTCTGATTTGATTCTGATACAAGAATTTACCATTTTGATCTAGTGTATTCTGCTCAGAGAATGTACCATTTTGATTTTGGTTTATTCTGATCAGAGAATGTAGCATTTTGATTTTGGTATATTCTGATCAGAACATGTTCCAATATAATAATTTAGTAGATTCTTGCATATTCCATTATCCCAATATAGAAAATAGTTTCACTTAATTTGATTTTACTTGAATGGCTTGTCTGAAATGATTACATTGAGCAACAGATGCAAAGGTTCTCACCTAGATGCTGTGTTTGATGTGACTCTCAGTTCATTGCTCAGTAGATGCTCCATTGTGGCAAAGTTGGGTCACTCTGAACAAATATTCATGAAGAATATATATTATGATACCTTCTGTAATTTTGAGATGTTATCATTCTAAGAGTTGTTCAGATGACTGATTTTATTCTTTTTGTTGCTTTTGTGAGGTCAGAACTTATACCAATGAATAATTCAAAACAGTGTTGCGAGTAAGAGATTGAAGAGTAGTTACATGTATAAAATATCGAATCACCTGCATTGCTTCTTTTGCTGTGAATGGGTTGGCCTAATCAGTATGCTTGCCATTATGTCTTATTAAGGGTGTTTTTCAGTGCGCCCATGTTGCTACCTAATGTGACACAAGGTCAGGGTTTAGAGGGTTTGACAGCAATACTGTTTAAAAGCTGCCCAAGCTCCCTTGGAACTTCCCTTTTGGGAAAGCCTCAGACGCCGGGCAATAAACCTAGCCCCCTCCTGACAGAGAGGTGGTGCCTGGAGGGAAGGCCTCCTGGAGTTTGGGCTTAATATATTTTTTAAAGTTCCCTGGTGTGTGCCAGGTAAGTATCATGCCTTGTTAAGATCTATTCTATGGACAATATTTGTTACCCCGCATAGGGATTGAACTTACATCCTCCTGGTAATAAGAACTAATCCTGTGTTGCTCCACACATTCAACCTTTAGTCACATCTAAGCTACCCTTAGAAAATCATTTTTGGGCACCTCGATGTGGTGTAAAAGTTAGCAAGCTTGTCTCGCTTGGATAATTACAACTGAATAGTGAGTTCAATCCTCACTGGGTGAACCATACTTTCAGCCTTGTGCCACATTTAAGCTATGCTTAGAAAATCATTTTGGGGCTCTCCACACCCACCCCCCGGGATTCTTCTGGAGGCTTTGACAGTGGAGGAGAACCTCCTCCCTCGTTAGAGTTGATGCTGCAGTTGTAGTATCTGTTCCATTCCAGAGGCATTCTCTCCTCCCTTGCATTCCCCCCACCATTGCATCTGTTATGTAGTGATGATATGACCAGCTATGACTAGTTCAGACATGCTATGACCAGCTTAAACCAGTGGCCCGGGTGGAAACACTCATTGGATCAAGGTAAATTTCAGAAAGTTTCAGTTGTCTAGTGAATTTTTGTCAGTAATTCAGGACATAACAGACTTTCTGCTGCCTAGGTAATATCTCTAAAATAATTTGACACTGGGAGACTAATCCAAAAAAACATTAGTTTTTATTACCTGGGAGATGTAAGTTCAATCTCTATGCAGGGTAATAAATATTATCCATAGAATAGATTTTAGCATGTCTGTTATACTACAAAGAAAAGATCCCACTTCCAGCTGAAAATCCCTTGGAATAACATGTCAAATATTCTTATACAATAAGAATCTTTCAATTTTTATTGCTTGCTTACATTTTATAGCTACTAAAATTTTTCTTTAAAATATTAGCAAATATTTTGCTTCAGTGTCTTTGTGAAATGCTTCAATCAATGGTTCCTAGCAGTATATCAAATTCCTCTTCATAATATATGATTTATATGTATAAAACTACCTCCTATAATCTGTGGTTTTAGAAGTATATTAAACTTGTGTGTGTAGTAAGTGTTCTTAATAGTATTTCAAACTTTTTCTTCATGCTCTACTTACTTAGCATTTTCATCATCCATGTCTTTAACAGTATATTAAGTTTTCTCTTTAATCAATATACTTAACAGGTTTTTAAACTTCACTTTATAATCTATATTCTCTGTGTATTTTAAAGTTTTCTGTAATCTGTGTTTTTAGCATCATTTTGAACATTGCTCTGTTCTGTATTCTAAGCATTATTTTAAACTTCTCATAATAATAATTCTTAGCATTATTTTAAACATCTTCCCTTAATATTTATTCTTAGAGTTATTTTAAACCTCTTTCTGTATTTATTTTTAGCATTATTTTAAACTTCTTCTCTTAATATTTATTCTTAGCATTATTTTAAACTTCTTCTCTTAATATTTATTCTTAGCATTATTTTAAACTTCTCCCCATAATATTTATTCTTAGCATTATTTTAAACTTCTCCCCATAATATTTATTCTTAGCATTATTTTAAACTTCTTCTCTTAATATTTATTCTTAGCATTATTAAAAAACTTCTAATATTTATTATTTTAAACTTCTCCCCATAATATTTATTCTTAGCATTATTTTAAACTTCTCCCCATAATATTTATTCTTAGCAGTATTTTTAAACTTCTCCCCATAATCTTATTCTTAATATTTTCAACTTTGTATTTTTATTTTTTTAGCAATGCTTTAAAGTTCTACTTGTAATAAATTTATTAACACATTAACTGCTACCTTGAATATTCGAACCCTTACATAATACCATCTTTGTTTTTGTTAGTTACTATTTGAAATTGCTATATAAGACAGCTTATGCTTTATTTTGGTAATCTACGTTACCTTGGATATTTGAATCCTTATATAATTCCATCTATTTTTTTTTTTTTTTTTTATAAAATCTGCACAGATATTCAGGAGTAAAGGAGGCAAGTTAGAAGTGTTATCTAAAATCCTTGTATTGGATGAAACGTTTTGCAATAATGAAGAATATCATGAATAGAGTGATAGACATAATGACTATGACCATAAGAATAGATGGATCAAATGAACAGGGGCTGTATTGTTGGTAGTGATGATTGTATAGTACAACTTATATAATATCACAGCAAAAAATCCAAAATTACTGCGTCCTGGGTATGACGATAAACTATGTCCAACAGCAAGGCCTCTGATAATGTTTTTGAAAAGATAATGTTGCCAGCTATACGTTTTTTGAAAAAAAAAATAATATTACCAGCTATACGTTTTCAAAAAAATAATATTACCAGCTATACGTTTTCAAAAAAATAATATTATCAGCTATACATATTTGAGAAAAAATATCAACAGAAATAGATTTTTGACAAAGCAAAAATATTACCAGGAAAAAAAAGTTATCCACAAGGACACATGGCACAGTGGATAAAGGCGTTGGTTAGATCCAGTGACAGACCCAAAGAAGGTGAGTTCAATACCTGGTTAAGGCAGTGGAGAACTTTCAGAGGGAAAATTATCAGGAGATAACTGATAACTGACATCCATCAAACATGGCACGTGGAACTAGAACAGTCTACCCCAGTGATCGAAATAAAGGGTTCAGTTCGAAATTCCAACCACCTGAAGAAGGCCTGAGCATACAACGGCCAAAACATTGTGACAAATATGGTGACAAAGATGAGGACAATAGTCCGACTAATGTAAATACTGTAAAAAAAAAAGTTATCGGCATTAAATGACCTATTGTGGTTGATATGCTACAAACCAAACCAAAATTACTTAGCCTATTTCAACCAGCGCAACCTTGCACCAGCCTTCTTCAACTCTAGACTGAATTTGTCTTGGAATCAGGGATTTAATTTAGATAGCAGTTGAGGAAAAAATACCAAACCTGCCCAAAATGATGCTTCTGCTAAATAAAAAGCCCGAGTTGGTGATAAGGGCAGAGTGGGAGGTATCTCTCTAAAAGAGGAAGATGTCCACTGGAATCAACACCAAAATTAACCTTATGATCCTAAGTTTAGGTTATATGATGAGTGAGGTGTTGGATTGAAACTAAAAGAAGGGCCAAAAGGGGAGTTTATTTATGACCAAAACCTTTAATTATATATAAAGGAATTTAGGTTCCCACTAGGGAATACCAAATTATACTAACAACAAATATGTATTGATAATATTAAAGCTAAAT